CGATATACGCAAATACGGAAGTGCGACTTCACAACATAGTACCTAGGATAGATCGATAAAATAAGACAATAGTTCACCATCATAAGGTAAATAAGGGACAAAAATATTGGTCAGCATCATATTACAATAATTCAAGATAAAAATAATGTACAACATGGTTGAATAATGAGAAATCAGGCAGCAGATTCACAGGTGACAAGATGAGTAGTGAAGCGGTCAATCAGACGAAGGAAACGCATGTTAAAGTACACAAGAAGTTCGCGAGCGGTAAAATGACGATTTCACATAGATGTAAGTAAAAGAATACGCTGGTACTGAACAGAGATCAATAACCGGTAATTATTAACAACTGTAATCTGTTAAAATGTATTATTTTACCGTATTTACGCAGAAACTTAGAGAATAAAATTTGTAAACAAACTATTGAAAATGGGGGATGTTGTCAAAACACGATCGGTAATACTGCAAGTTTTGTAAACAAAATCTGAATAAAAATAAGACATAATAAATGCTGCTTAAGCTTAATTAATAACTTTTAAAGTCATGTACTATGATTATAGTGTATCTCCATTCAGAATAAATTAATTGTAAACAATACAAGAGTAAGCACATGAACAGCTGATGAAAGTCTCACATATTACATTAAAATGCAGATTTTACTCATAGTTTTTTTCCCCTGTTTGTCTACATATCATTGATTAATTATACAATTATGGACGACTCTTTCGATGGTGATATTGATATTTTTCTGGTGAATAACAAACCATTTTTTCTCCATAGACGCCCTCCTATGTAATTCTGTAAATGACGAAAGATAAGTATATCTAGGTCTACTCCTGCTTTAAAAGTCTATAGTATAGAAGGGGTGAACCTATATGTACTTACAGAAATACATATGGAGCGCCTATGATTTTCATCATTGAATGAGTATTACTGTTATATTATATAGTAAGGACTTAAATGAATAAGACATTAAAGGCTGTTTGACAATTTTCATTAACGAACTTCTGTTGTAGAGAAATTCCGTGTTTTCCTTCGCTGTGTGTAAGACAAGTAAATGTTTAGAAAAAAAAACTGCAATAGAATTTTTTCCTGCTAGGATTTACAGCTGGCTCCAACCGTTGCAATCATTGTTTCCAACGTTGCTAGAGGTACTATTAGTTATCCAGGTTCAATCAAGGGTGTACGGGAATTTACCCCGGGTTTTATTCCATACACCCTGAGGCCGCAGGCCGAAGGGTGTATGGAATAAAACCCGGGGTAAATCCCCGTACACCCTTGATTGAACCTGGATAACGAATTTATTTCCTTTGTACCAATAAAAATGCTTTGTAAACATCAGAATGTGTTTCAATCTATCGATTAGATAACTATGTACTGAGAATGTATGCACTGTGACGTCACGTTTTATTTACACCCGGTTCAAGTCGGGTGCACGGATATTTACACCCGACTTTGTAACCAATCAAAGCTCGTGTTACAAGCTAGATAGGAAATAAATGTATTTATTGTGACGTCACTATACCTTTGCACGCTTGCAATCCAGTGAATATTTTGTATACTGGGCTGTTTTCTTTTGTAAAGATTGCATGTATATCGGGGCTTTTTAGAGATTATTTAATACTAGTAATATTAATTTGACACTGCATTCCAGGTCTTAATTCTGGGTAGTTGGAAACTGGTGTATTATAGAATTTTAGCTTGGGTTCAAAATAGAAACGAAGGTTATTTTTTAACGTTAACAATATACAGCTCAACGAACATTTTAAGCTCACATGGTTTTTCGCATGGTTTAAGGTCACATTTTTGTTATAAAAATTACCATTTTCTAACTTCAGTACGATGAAACAGCCCTACGTTATATTACATATATAATGTCAAGGACATAAATCCTTTAGAATTATTATCTTAAGTTTATTAAGTGGGTATAATAAAGGGGAATCAATCAATAAATGGTACGATGTTTCTACTATAGGATTCTACCATAGGTTTTTACAAATTAAATAAAACGAACTTTTATTGATACAATGTGGTTGAAAATTTTTGATTTTCTTCTTAAAGGTCAATATTTTTTAGAATCCATTGTTCATTTACCATATTCCTCTTGGTTTTGTCGAAATGTAGCGCCAAAAAATGACATTGCAGAAAGAAACCACATTCAAGGGTAGGATATTAAAGTACTGTTCAATTTTTCAAATAGTATATTATTTCTCTGAAAAGGTAAATTCTATTGCATTTATGGTTTGAAACGTTAAAATTTTGCATTGGGTTTAATTTTTCACGATTCTAGATTTTAGAAGGTAACTCTGAAAAATGCCACTTTATTAACACTCAAAGCAGTACAACAGATGAAAATACCTTTATCATCCCGCGCTAGAGAGTCAGAATATACAGAAAATACAAGTTGTGCCCTTGTCTACGTTTCTGCAACGAGATACTGCTTTCAAAAGAACGGAGTAAATGACAGCTACTATTGGCAAGAAACAACAACAACAAAAAAGGGAATAGTTAATATTTTTCAGCCATGAATATATCAAATTTCTATTAACTGATTTGTGTAAATTATGTTTATGTAAATGAAATAAAACTCAAATAATGTAAACAAGTACTTTTAAAATACATTTTGTTGTCTTTCTACACAATATTACATATATGGCAATGTGACCTTAATTTGTGCGAAAAACCATGTGAGCTTAAAAAGTTTGTTGAGATGTATAGAACTAAGGTGTTGAGTTTTGATCCATGTCCCTTGAATATTGCACCATGTGGTGGAATTTTGATTATGAAATCGGTTCTAAATTTAACAGCATAAAAATACCTTTATTTATATTTCGACTTGATATATCCTAGTGAACGTGAAATCAACAAGAGGCCCAGGGACCACACCGGCTAGGAAAAAGCACATATCAGATCAGAAATGAAAGTTTACTGAAGTTGGAGGGGGGGGGCTTAAATTTTAACCCCATGGGGATCATGATTTGAACAAACTAGAATCTACACTACCTGAGGATGATTCCATATAAATATCACTAATAACAGCTCTGAAGTACTTGAAAAGAAGATTTTAAAAGATTTCCCTATTTATTCCTATGAAAAACTTTGATCGACCACTTTGGCCCCACCCTACCACCGAGGGTCATGATTTGAACAAATGTGAATCTACTCTACCTGAGAATGATTCCACATTAATTTCATTTTTCCTGGTCCAGTGGTTCTTGAGAAGAAGATTTTTAAAGATTATTTCCTATATATTCCTATGTAAAACTTTTAACGGCCATTATGTCCCCACCCTAGCCCCGGGGATCCTGATTTGTACAAATTTGAATCTACACTACCTGAGGATGATTTCACATGAGTTTCATCTTTCCTATCTCAATGGTTCTTGAGAAGAAGATTGTTAAAGATTTTTCCTATAAATTCCTATGTAAAAGTTTGATCGGCCATTTTGGACCCACCCTACCGCCCGGGGTCATGATTTGTACAAATTTGAATCTACAATACCTGAGGATGATTCCACATTAGTTTCATCTTTCCTGGCCAAGTGGTTCTTGAGAAGAAGATTTTTTATTAAAATGCCATTAATTTTTCTCTTATTCATAATTATCTCCCCTTGGAAAAGGGCGTGGTCCTTCATTTGAATAAACTTGAATTCCCTTTACCCAAGGATACTTTGTGCCAAGATTTGGTTGAAATTGGCCAGGTGGTTCTTGAGAAGAAGATGAAAATGTGACAAGTTTACGACAACGACAACGACGACGACAGACAACGGACAAATTTTGATTAGAAAAGCTCACTTGAGCCTTCGGCTCAGGTGACTTAAAAGACCAACCAAAAGTCTGCCAAAGTCTGCCACATTTGTTTCATACTTGGCTAACTAACAATACAACTGTGCGGCGCGTAAAACAAAATGATTTAATCTTCGTCTTAAACGTAGTTACATGTAACGTCCTTTGTTTATCACCTGCGTCAAGTTTTTACACCTCCCAATTAATTATGCGAGGGCATGCTCCAAATACAAAAAGTCATTTTACATGGGTTGCTTTTTAATGTATTGACTTGCAATTTTGCAGCTTTAGAATTGCATACCAAAGATCGAATTTTAATTGTAGGATATTTTAATGCTGTTAGAGTGGTCCGCCCTTAGAAGTGACATAGCGCATTTATTTACTGGTTATTTACAGTTGATTACACTATTTGTTATGGACTAAAATATGCTTAGCATTATTTCAGAATAAGTATAATTGAATTCATTATTTCTATTTATTTCCCCAATTTAAGTAAATTCAGTGTTTCTGTTCACACATTGTCCATTGTTACTTTGAAAATTGTTCCTGCCAAATTAAGTCAGGTACGCTATGTTGAAAATTAATTAAATAGTTTGAATATGCACTCTCTTAGGCCTATATGATATACTTTTATTAAACTACAGAAAGTACTTTTTGTTAGTATTTAGAGCTTTCTTAAATTAGACAAAGATTGAAAGTTACAGTTAGCGGTTATCTAATTCAAGTAAAGAAATATGAACATATCAAAAATCGGAACCCCTAAAAAAGATTTTGGACCAGACATCAAGGAGGGTAAAAAGGAGGGTAAGCATGCCAAAGAACCGTTCTCTCTGACTTGCGACATAATAATCAAACTACTTACCGCCAAACAGAAAACGTTTTAAGAACTGTGCCACGCGGATGACTGTGTGTGTGTGTGTGGGGGGGGGGGGGGGTCAGCGAGGGTGTATGAGGGTGTGTAAGGGTGTGTATGTAAGAGAGGATATGTTTAAGTATGTGAGTAAAGCAGATTTCTTACTTTCGTGTCTTCTAAATTTCAAGAAATAGATGATAGCTATAATCAGGATACAAAGGCCAACAACTGCGCATATCACACCAATAATGATGTAATTTCCATTTTCATCTTTCAACCGCCCAACATTCTCTTGAAGAGGTGTAGTCGTATCATTATCTGTCAGAAGTGTATCTGTTGTTATTATTTGGAATCTGTGAGAAAGGAATTAAAGCGACCATTAATATAGAGTCTGTGATAATAACCCCATATCAATGTATGCACATTTAAAGAAATGGGGGATAAAAACTTTTTTTTCGTAGAAACTGAACACATAGTGTGTTATAATGATTACATAAATTGATTTAATATATTAATACATAACTACATTTTTATCTTATTCTTGGTTTTCACAAATCAAATTAGCATTTTATTTTTCTGAGTATACTTTTACCAAGTCTGGTTTTAATATAATTGGCCCAGAGAAAAAAAAAGTAAAAGACGTGATATTGAACTTCGAAAAAGCCAAAACGGTCATTTTTTTCTTTAGAAAAGCTCAAAATCTTTGCAACACTCTCAAACTTTAAACACTATATGTGATTTACTTTGATCTTACAGAAATTGTCAAAATATTCAGCAAACCTCAGGTGTACATAATTTGTAACTATTTGCTGATCATTCTCTGATAAGTTATGCAAATATGATGAAGAAAAAAAGAACCTTTGTTCTGCACAATTTTTTTCTCCTCGGATACAATGGATTTGAAAATCAATGTCTAAACATCTGGGAACTGTAAAAAAACATTTGCCACGTAAAACTATTTTATGGCAACAAATGGATATGAAATAGGAAAACAATCATAAAACTCAAAATATGTGTATACCTGCATTTTTATGATAAACGTAATGACTTTACTTTCCTATCGTTACATCCCTTACGTTACCCTCACGACCTGCATATTAGGTTTATATCTCCATTGGTTCGATCCGCAAAATCATATCGTATGCTTTTCTTATGAACGACATATGCAAATGTAAACATATATTAATATTATTTCTACTTGTTCATTTTTTAATAGGTACTTGTATTCATAAAATAATCCCATGTAATCCTATGTAATGGCAGTATTACTCTGGATTTGAGCATTTTAATGCATTACATAACCATATGCATTACATATAATGCAACACACATTACTAGCATTACTTGGATCACTGGAGTTCCAGAATTTCATTACACTAATGCATTGCAATGCATTACCATTACATTGAGTATTACCCCCAAGCCAGATATACATACATACATGCATTAGTGATAATTATTTTTCATTTCATGATAATTTCTTTTATGAAATTCAGCAACATGTATAAGGACGTAGGTTTTTCTGTTTTAAATAATCAATCATAATCAGTATAGTTCAAAAGGTAATTGCTGATAAATTTAGATACGAAGAAGATACGTCTTACTTACAGTCATATAACTTATCACTGTCGTAAAAAGTCGAAGGGCATCCATCGGTGAAACTTGAACAATTATAATCGTCTAGTTGCAAACTATTGATGTCAAGAACAACACAAAATCCTAGAAAGAAAATAAGACTATTCTGTAGATCGCTGTAAGAATTGCCTCATTAATTACATAAATATTTAGCTTAAGGTTGTACATGTTGTACATGTATCTAAATCTTTACAAAATGGTTAATTCGCTGTAAAGTACACCTCCAGATAAACTGTGCTTTAACATATTCTAGGAAGTGTTTAAGGATTTCAATCCCTAATAGGACCAAATTCTCTATTCCTTAGTTGTCCATCAGGTACATAATACTCTGCATTAAATTAAAGAATTTTAGAGTAGAAAAGGATTGCCAAGGAGAATTTTTTTTTTTAATTCAGCAGTTTATTAACAAAGGTTGCATTGAAGTCTACATGTGTATGTGGAAATCTAAGCGTTTGTATTAAAATAAAAAATAAAATAATAAGAATATATAGAAATACTGTGACGGAAAGACGCCTTGAACCATAAGAAATAGGATGAGAATTTAAAAACAATTTTAAGCGGATAAAATTTTTAACAATGATTTTTTAACTTATCAAAATTAAAGGGAGGTAACTCTTACCTAAGGAAAGGTCATAAATTAGGACACACTCTTTCTGTACATGCTAATACATGTAGTTATAAATGGGAATCATGTCTAAATAAAAAGAGTATTCAAGACTAAAACATTTTTAATGTATTCAATTTCATTGAATCTGTTGCTATAAGGGATAGAATACTTTAGATCGAAGTGAATAAGTTATAACCTTTGAAGAATTGTTAAAAAACTTACAAACGAAAAATTTGTCAAATTTCACATGCACCAAAACAGGCGATTTCTATACACGTTATACAATCATTCCTCTCGACTGATTAAACTTTTTTTGAAATCAGAGAAAAATGCTTCTTTAAAAAATGGAAGTTATTAATTTACGTGTTTTTTAAATAATTTTCTTTATATGATTTATCTTATTCTAAACAGGAATTCTTAAATTTATAAATTTTATTCATTTCAAGAAGTATAATTTTTTTTGTCAAATGAATGTCATATTTTTTTATTACGCGTAAATGTGCTTATGCAAGGTCGGCCACTTATAACTGTGAAGTACCGTTCTCTACAAATGTACCATGCATGACCTTTATTTACTAAAATAAAAATTTGAGTAAGAATTTTACAAGTGTATTCCTGTCATATTTTCCTCGTCTGATACTAGACTATATTAATCAAATCTCCACTGGGTCATTTACACACATATACACAGTCAAGAGGCTTTTGAGATATTTCCTGCTTCCTCCAGCATATTAATAGTTTTCTGAGTATTCTGGAGTTTTCAAAAGTACAACTCACAATGGCATTGTTAACTGATACATGATGTTCTACGACGTCACATTTTTGCCTTTTTTATTGAGGACAATTGCAACCAATTTTTGAAATTGATTTTCTTATCCACGAAGCAAACTATTCTACATTCATTCATAATATGGAGTAAGAAACGAAGTGGCAATTTAAACTTTATCTTCTAGAAGTTGTTTATCTTCTTTTTTGCCATTTTAAAGGATATCGCCTACGGCCTTGAACAACAGTTTGCATACCGGTCCAACAGATCGACTGCTTCCCTCTACCCTAATCAGAAAGTGTATAATATAAAATTATGAACTGATTAGAAGGGAGACATCACCAATAATCAGGTCTGAAGTAGGGTTGTCACCCAAGGGTGCTTGCTCCCATAGGCCTTATAGTTTGATTGTCCAGAAAATCTCAATTATCAATAAGATAGAGTAGAAAATAGTTATCAAACCTCTTGAATTCTCCTACTCTGCTCTGATTCCATACTTTCAAAATAATTATGTCAACAGACAACTATGACGTCATCATTAAATTTTATTGTTACCGATCCCGCATATATTAAGCAAGCATTGGACATATATAAATTATATATAATTCTAATACGATTATTGCCGAGATCGAAGAAATGCCGCGGACACTATTCTCCAATAAATCACGAACGTCGTCAAAAAATTATCAGATCAGAAACACGTATCAATCTTGTGCAGTTGAAATGTACTCTCGGCTTAAGAATGAAATGTGTGCATATTTAGACCACATCGATGTGTCATCTTTTACAATTTAAACACCAGAAAGTAGCTGATGAACGTAGGTTTTTAAAGCTAAGCGGGGCTGTTCCACGGACCTCCCTACGCCATATTTAAACTCCGTGATTTGAGTGATAAAGTGGTAAATTAGGAAACTGATTTTTGTATTGTATGATAAAGATTTATCTATTTAAGCTATAAATATAATAAATAGTGAAAGGCTAATTTCAATACGACGAAAGCACAAATCGTCTGCATTCCATTCACAGGTAAACAAATTTACACTCTGGTGCTAAAAGGAACAGCGTTGCCGCAGCATAGTGACCTAATTCGTTTCTCTATAGGCAAACGATCAGTCGTATTTTAGAGCTGCTTAGTAGACTAACGCCTCGGCTTTTATATTTCAAATAACATTTCGAAACCGAGGAGGTTATTCTGGATCTTTCACGACAACGCAGACTTTATTCTTTAAATAAAGTTGCATTCCCTCTGCTTTCTACCATGAACCTGCCGTCTTCAATTGCGATTATAGGACCATCTAAATTCATCTTCATCTAAATTCATCTCTAAAAATAAATAAAGAATCATAGAAAAACATTCTGGAGTCAGAACATAACCTACTTATTCAGCCAAATCAAAGGCTTCCATTTCTTGCGAAGAATTGATTCTTCATGGTAAAGAATTCTTCTTTTTCTGAAATATCTAACGGTGTTTGATTGGTTCAGGTGACAGTTATACGGGCGTGTTTTTATTGGTTTTTGTTTACAATGATATTTAAACTTTCTATGCTTGCTTCATTTGTTTTTATTTCCGCTGTAATCTTTTGTCGCCTTTCTAAATATATATTTTTTCACATTTCGGTACATACAAAAATACAAGCATCGTCATGTATATCAGAGACAAACCTTGTCTTTTGAAGACAGATTAAAGTCACAATCTTCATCATATTTTTATGAAGTCGGGCAACATATTGCGATTGTACGCATGTTTTTGTTCTACGGGCTGTTTCTCGGAGCTGGCTGGGACAATCTTCCTGAAACTATCCGCAAAGGACGATCACTGGTTGTAGTTGTGTTTTGTGGTAATTCAGTTTCAAAATGGCTACCGTTGCCATGGAAACCTGTGAAAAGCGACGAATTTTGTCCAGGAGTGTTCTCCGTGGTTCTTTGGACAATCGTCATGAAACTTATTGATTTAATAATTATTTTTAACGTTGAAAGTACTGAAAGGACTGATACAAGTTGATAGTTTTCCAAGCTTAGCCACTAGGTATTGTTTTAGTGATGAACAAATGAAAGTTTTGTCGAGTTCGGGGCGACATACGCTATTGCTTGCAATAGCACACTTTCTTGTTATTATGGTCTTCCGTCTTCACGGAAGACCTTCTAGCGATTCTACTGTTTCTTTATTAAGGTCTTCCGTCTTCACGGAAGACCTTATAGTGATTCTATTGTTTCTTATGATTATTATGTCGTCCCAGACGAAGTCGGGACGACATATTGCGATTGTACGCATGTTATTTTGTCCAGGCGTTTTCTTGGAGATGGCTGGGACAATCTTCCTGAAACTTTCCTCAAAGGACGATCACTGGTTGTTGTTGTGCCATGTGGTCATTCAGTTTCAAAATGGCAACCGTTGCCATGGAAACCTACAAAAAGCGACTAATTTTGACGAATTTTGTCCGCGAGTGTTCTCTCTGGTCCCTTGGACATTCTTCATGAAACTTTGTTGTTGTAATGGTTGGTATATGTAATTGTGCGATTTGCATTTAAGGGGGCCGACTATAGTTTTATTGTGTGAAAACTACAATAGCGAAACTCTTCATTTTTATACCATGTATAACTTACATTAACTTCAGTGTACATGCAAAGTTTGGGGGAAATCTACCGTCCAAGTTTTTTTTAAGGAACGTCTCAAAATACAGGTTGATTTACTAAAGGATTATATAGGAAAATGCCAATTTTAGCGCTTTAAAGGAAATTATACAAATACTACAATAGACATTTTGTTCAAATTATAATATTTGATAGGAAATACTATATTATACAATATATGTAAGAAACACAAAATTCTACCGTCTTGTTACCAGAGGGGGCATCTCAAAATGCAAAAAATTAGCAAATTTTACTATTTTTATAGAATATTACTAAATATGACGTACACAATGGATTCAAATAAAAACATAATACAAATATTGGAGATATTCTCAAGTTTCTATGTTTTAAATTTCAAGAGCGTATGTTTATTACTTTTTCTTTAATAATATATCTATTACCCCTTTCTTCAAGAGCTACAGATTATCATAACGTCAAAAACACACTGCAACGACGTCAACCTACCTATCAATTGCAAAATCGGTTAAAAAATCAGTTATATCAAATTATAATTACATTTTCATACCTATAATTTCTTAATTTTGTTTAATTGTAATTATTAAGCGAAAAAAGTTGCATTAAAACAGTAAATACCCTTCATTTTGCCATGATGCGCGAAATATTGCGCAATGGAAACTATAGTCGACCCCCTTAAAAACTGCAAATTGTCAATAGTTGCCATGGAAACAGGGACAAAGTGAAAATTCTTTAACTTTGATTTTAAATCAAAGTACTGAAAGTACTGAAAGGACTGATAAGAGTTGATGGTTTTCAAAGCTTAGCTATAATGGGTTTTGATTTAGTGATGACAAAAAATGAGTCTTCTCTAATTCGGGACGACATAAGCTATTGCTTGCAAAAGCAAACTTTCTAGTTATTAAGGTCTTACGTTTCCAACGGAAGACCTTTCTGTTATTCTTAGGTTTCTTTTCCACAGTTTTTTCTTTTTTTTTTCTTACCGATTTTGTGCACGCGAGTTCTCGGAAACGGCTTGCTCGATTTTCATGAAACTTTCAGGGCTGATGGGACATGAAAAAATCTAGACATATATTTTTTTATTTTGATGACGTCACTTCCGGTTC